GTGCCGACCGTTCACGAGCCCTTTTTGATAAAGAATTTCATAATACACGCCCACCCCTAGTAGTTATTTATATTTTTGGTTTATTTGACTAGAAATTACATAATAAAAATCAAAAAGCTACATTTTTCTTATTACAGTATATACTTAACATCTTTGCTTTCAATAAAAATAGAGTTGAAACACAAAAGAACCAGGAGGTGATCATTAAATACACTTTAAGTATCTCATGTTGTGGTGATGCTGCATTTTCCAACAGATTAATGCAAGCAAAAAATACACTAAATCATATTCTAAATGATTCATCCATTCTCTGAGCAGATGGAGACATCTTCTTTTCTTTCTCTTCAAATGACAACACGAAATAACACTACCAAACAATTTTCATTTCTGTAGAAGTGTGTGTGTGTGTGCGTGAGTGTGTGTGCATGAAGGAAGTGTGTGATGACCAGTATACGGTTTGATGTTGAAGGTCAGTTCAGAAAAGTTTCAGCACAGTGACAACCAGACACTAGCTCACTGGTGTGGAGCAAAACACACACTAATTAGATAATCCCAACTGTGTTCCTGAACAAGAGTCACACAGCAGCAGGGGTCAACTCAAGTCTTTGGAGGAAAGGAGACAAAGAGGTATTTTAACATCCACTTGTGTTTTTGGGCTAAAACAAAGAGGCCTTAAGCCTCCAGTATACTTGGGCGTACGTCAGTCCACGCGTACCGAATTAAGAGTCAAAGTGGACACCCGCAGGGCATGGCCATGCAAAGTTCAATTTTTACGACTGCGTACTCGGTGTCACACAATAAACTGCCCGGCGATGGGACTGTTTTGTATGGTAAATGGTAAATGGACTGTACTTATATAGCGCCTTTCTATCTTATTTCAAGATACTCAAAGTGCTTTACATTACAATCTGTGTCCTCATTTATCCATTCAAACAGCACTCTACTAGATCTCTACAAATCTAATTGAACAAATCATTCTAATGAGACTAATCAGTGCTTTAGATCACATTCATACACTGATGGGACACACATCGGAGGCTATGAGGGGTTCAGTGTCTTGCCCAGGGATACTTCAGCATGTGACTGCTGGTGGATTCGAACCCCCAACTCTAGCATTGGAGGACGACTGCATAATCACTCAGCCACAGCCGCCCCAATGTGACACAAATGTATTAAATTCCCCTTCTTCATCCCTGGTCTGGTTTAATGGCCTTTTCTTTTCTTTTTTCCCAAAAGGCAAGTGATCTCTCCTCCTCATCTATTGACGCCATGACTGAAATGATGATAAACGAAGGAATTTGTCACAAGTGAATTAAAATCAGGTCCAGCGTGGCTGTGGGAGGGTCTGGAGATTTCTTGGTGGGCTGGTCTGATGTGTGGACTGCAGGGCCAGCGCTCCCTGTTTTTTATTTTTTAGAACTTTTTATTAACAACATATAAACACAGAACACCACTGCGACTAGAGCTGCCAGCTCTCGTTTTTGTTTTTTTTTTGACCTGTCAATCAATCCAGTAGGTGTGTCAGCAAATGACTAATCGGCAACCTCAATTTGTCCTGAAGGTAAACGCCCCTTGTCTGCGGAGCTGACTGTAGTCGCTCAGGGTGGACGCTTGAGTATGAAGTTTCAACCGACTGCGGACAGTACGCATAGTTTCTGCGTGGCTGACAGGACGCACGAGTATACTGAGACCTTTGACGTGCAGACTGCAGGTGTTCCTGCTTGTGTTTCTGTGTACCTGATTGGTTATGCTCTCTGCAAAATGTGGAGCTCTGCTCTTCAGAAGTGTTACCAGATCTTCATAAATATCACTTGTTTGCTCGTAACCGCTCTCATCTGCCTCCTGTTTCCTGCCCTGTGAAAACAAAGGACAAACTAACCTTTATTAATAAAACCATCAAATATAATTAGCCCCACATGTCACAGGAATTAATCAAGGCTGTAAAAGTCACATTACATTTGAGCAGCTTTAAAGGGAATTTAAAACAAAGTAGTTTTTCGTTCGTCTGTTCCCTTCAATAGAGATCAACACAGCGAGTGAACTTGAATGAAGATTTGACAGTTGTTTTATGCCAGACGCTCTTACTTATGCAACTCGAGTTTGAAGCTGCAGCCTCAACATTACGAGATCATACCACTGAGCTACCACAGCCCGAGGAAACGTCCAATCCAATCCAGTTTGTTTATATAGCGCCAAATCACAACAAAGTTGTCTCAGGGCACTTTACAGGAACATTCACATACATAAAAAAGCCAATTAGTAAAGTTCTCTATCTATGGAATCCAGCAGACAAGTTGAATCTTGGCTTTGTTGCAGTCTTCCATCCTGAGCAAGCACAATGGGAACAGTGGAAAGAAAAAACTCCCTTTTAAAAGGAAGAAACCTCCAGCAGAACCAGGCTCAGGACAAGCGGCAATCTGCTTTGACTGGCTGGTTTGAGAGGACAGAAAGGAGAGACAAATAAACACAGAATGGTAGGTCCAGATATAGGTCCAGGTGTACCTGAAAGACAAAAAAAACCCCATGTTTACAAAAAAAAAAACATGTTAAGGATAGAAAAATAATTACAAATACAAAACAGGTTGAGTAGAGTAAGTAAAGACAGTAGAAGAGTGTAAAAGTGTGGTCAGTTTGTCCTCCAGCAGTCTAAGCCTAAGAGACAGCTCAGGAAACTCAAGCCGACTCTAACTATAGGATTTAGCAAAGAGGAAAGTCTTAGGACTAGTCTTAAAACTGGATAATGTGTCAGCCTCACAGACAGAGATTGGAAGTTGGTTCCACAAGAGATGCCGTTCCATGCCGTTTTTGTAAATTCTAGGAACCACAAGTAAACCTGTAGCCTGAGAGCAAAGTGCTCTGTTAGGAAAATATGGAACAATAAGATCTGTAATATAATGGAGCTAGGTTGTTGCGAGCTTTGTAGATTAGAAGTATGATTTTGAATTCTATTCTGGACTTGAAAGGGAGCCAATGGAGAGAAGCTAAAACTGGACAGATATGATCTCTCCTACTAACTCCAGTTAAGAATCTGGCAGCAGCATTTTGGATCAACTGAAGACGTTTTAAAGAAGTATTTGGACACCCAGATAATAAACCATTGCAATAGTCCAGTCTAGATGTGACAAATGCATGGACCAGTTTTTCTGCATAATTTTTTGGATAAGATGATTCTAATTTTAGCCATATTACACAGGTGGAAGAGGGCAGTTCTGGTAACGTTTTTAATGTGGGGGATAAAAGACATGTCCTGATCAAAAATAACACCAAGATTTTTAACATTAGAGCTGGAGGCCAGATTAATGCCATCTAAGGAGGGAGAAAAACTGAAAAATTAATTCCTACGGTGCTCAGGTCCAAAACCCAAAACCTCAGACTTGTCTGTGTTCAAAAGGAGAAAAGTAAGGGTCATTCAGGTTTTTATGTCTTTAAGACATGCTTGTAGTCTAAGTAGCTGATTGGATTCATTGGGTTTAATGGACAAATATAATTGTGTGTCATCAGCAGAACAATGAAAATGTATCCCATGCTGTTTAATAACTTTACCTAATGGAAGCATATATAAAGTAAAGAGTATTGGCCCAAGCACTGAGGAACTCCATGACTAACTTTGGTGTATGAAGAAGATTTATGATTTACATTTACAAACTGGAATCTATCAGATAGATATGATTTAAACCATTTTAGAGCCGTTTCGGTAATTCCAATATCATATTCAAGCCTCTGTAGTAAAATATTGTGATGAACTGTATCAAATGCAGCACTGAGGTCTAACAGGACCAGTATAGACAAAAGCCATTGTCTGAAGCCATGAAAATATCATTAGTGACTTTTACTAGTCTGTTTCTGTGCTATGATGTGCTCTAAACCCTGACTGAAACTTTTCAAACAGATTATTTCTTTGTAGATGTTCACGCAACTGACCTACAACTATTTTCTCTAGAATTTTTTTAATGAAAGTTAGATTAGATATACGTCTATAATTGGCCAGAATTTCTGAATCAAGATCAGACTTTTTAAGTAAAGGTTTAATTACAGCAACCTTAAAGCGCGGTGGTACATAACCATTCATTAAAGACAAATTAAGTAGATCCAAATTGTGGACATTAATTAGGGGAAATACCTCTTTAAACAGTCTGGTTGGGATGGGATCTAGCAGGCATGTGGATGGTTTGGATGAGGTTATTATTTTGGACAGTTCAGAGAGCTCAACAGGACAAAAACTGTCCAAACACAAATCAGGCTCTAGTGAAATTTGTAAAGTTGTCTCATTTGACAGGGGACTAATAGAAGGAAGGATGGTTTGAATTTTCTCTCTAATTAAAATAATTTTATTTATAAAGAATCTCATGAAGTCATCACTACTTATAGTTGTAGGGATACATGGTTCAACAGAGATGGGACTTTTAATTGGTCTAGCAACAGTACTAAACAGAAGCCTAGGGTTATTTTTATTCTCATCTATTAAAGATGAGTAATATAAAGTTCTAGCTTTACGGACAGCTTTCTTATAAGTTAGCAGACTATCTTTCCAAGTTAAATAAAATTCTTCAACATTAGTAGAGTGCCATTTTCTCTCCTGGTTTCTAGATGCCTGCTTTAAAGTATGTAACTCAGAATTGAACCAAGGAGCCAGTTTCCTTTGATTGATTACTTTCTTTTTCAGATGAGCAATTTTATAAAGTGAAGTTTGCATTGAAGTTGTAAGATGATCAACTAGATGATCTAAGTCACTGTTCTCAGATGCATTACTCTGAAAGACAGAGGAAAACTTTGATGGAAGAGACTGTTTAAATTTGGTTACAGCATTTTCTGATAAGCACCTGCTAAGATGAAATTTACTCTCAGTGACTGTGTAGTCATTTAATGTAAACTCAAAGGTAATTAAAAAATGGTCGGACAGAATAGTATTTTGAGGAACTATTACCAAGTCCTTAATCTCTATGCCATAGGTCAGAACTAAGTCAAGGGTGTGATGATAAGAATGAGTAGATGTGCGGACGTTTTGGGTAAAACCAAATGACTCTATTAAATTATTAAAGGCTGCTTAAGCTATCACTTTCAACATCTACATGAATATTGAAATCACCCATTATTATGACTTCACCAGTGTTTAATAGTAAGTCAGTTAAGAATTCTGAGAATTCGGACAAAAACTGAGAATAAGCGCCTGGTGGACGGTATATAACAACTAGTAAATGTGGTTTTTCTGATTTCCATTTTGGACGAGAAAAACTGAGGGACAGCGATTCAAAAGAATCATAACTAATAACTGGTTTGGCATTAATCAATGAACTTGACTGAAAAATAGAAGCTACTCCTCCACCTCGGCCAGTTGTTCTAGGAACATGAAATTTTAAATAATTAACAGGAGTGGATTCATTTATACTAACAAAATCCTCCTGTTGTAGCCAAGTTTCTGTCAGACAGAATAAATCAATATGGTGATCAGTTATCAGATCATTAACTAACAGGGATTTAGAGGAAAGGGATCTGATGTTCAATAATCTGCATTTACTGATTTTATGATTTTGCTCTGGTAAAGTAACTGTGTTTATTTTAATAAGATCTTTATGATTTATATTTTAGAGCTGATTTTTGGTTTATTTAATTTGAGCCGGGTTGACACTGTTTCAATGGGGTGTGGGTGGGTAACAGAGGAGAAGCAGCAAAGATGTGTGGAAGACTACAACTCTGCTTCATGGACTGGACCCTGGGTTGTCAATAATTTGGGGTATAAACAAAATCAGCGATATTTCTAGAAAGAAGAGCGGCTCTGTCCAAAGTGGGATGGATGCCATCTCTCCGCATCAGACCAGATTTTCCCCAAAAAGAACTCCAGTTATCTATGTAGCTCACATCGTTGTCAGAACACCACCTACTCAGCGGTTAAACGACGACATACGACTAAACATGTCATCGCTGGTCAAGTTGGGGAGGGGGCCAGAGAAAACTATGGAGTCCAACATGGTTTTAGCAAAGTCACACACTGAAGCAACATTAATTTTAGTGACCTCCGATTGGCGTAACCGGGTGTCATTAACGCCGACATGAATAACAATCTTATTGTATTTAGCCTTAGCCTTAGTCAGCAGTTTCAGATAAGATTCATTGTCGCCCGCTCAGGCCCCCGGAATACATTTAACTATGGCCGCTGGAGTACCTAAAGCCACGTTTCGAACTATGGAACTGCCAATAACCAGGGTCTGCTTCTCAGCGGGTGTGTCACTGAGCGAGGAAAACCGATTAGAAATGTGAACGGGTCTGTGGTGAACTGGGGGCTTAGTCTTTGCACTATGCTTCCTCTGGACCATCACTCAGCCGGCCTGGGGTCCCGGATGCTCGGGGTCTGCTGGAGGACCGCTAACAGGAGCTAGCCTCTGTGGTTCCATGCTGTCTAAGGGGACCTGGCTAGCTACTGGTTTTTCTACAGCATGGAACCGAGCTTTCAGTTCAAACAGCCTCTCCTCCAAAGCTACCATAAGACTACATTTGTTACATGTATCATTACCACTAAAGGAGGCAGAGGAGTAGCTAAACATCTGACACACGGATTAAGTGAGAACAGAGGAAGCCGGGAGAGAAGCAGCAGCCATGCTAAGCTAAAGCTAGCAAGAGCTAGCAGATCCCAATACACGAATAAAAAACGAAAAGTGTTGAAAGATAAAAGGTGTTTTAAGCACTATCCAACAATAGAAAAACAACTGTACTAAGTGTGTTTGTGAATTACAATGAAAAACTGTGCAAGACAGATAAATCCGGAAAAAAGAGACGACTTGAGCAAACAATTCAATCGAGCTCAAACAATGTAAATAGTAAATGGACTGTACTTATATAGCGCATTTCTATCTT